TGAACCCTAGAAGCCCCCACAAACCCACACCCTATAAACCCTGAACCCTATAAACCCTAAAGCCGAAAACCGAAAGCAAAGCAAAAACAACAAACAAAACCTATACCCCAAACCCCAAACCCTAAACCCTAAACCCTGAACCCTAAACCCTATAAGCCCCAAAGCTTGGACGCTGAGCCCGGTCCTCGACGCAGAGGTTGTCCCAAGATGATCCCCTTGCAGTAATCGAAGAAGCACCCGGCTTGCCGGACTTGTGCCTTAATTCCCAGAGTAACCTATATGGTCACATTTGGGGTTTAGGGTGTAGGGTTTAGAGTTTAAGGTTTAAGGTTTAGGTTAATTCCCAGAGTAACCTATACCTGGGACTCTATTTGCCTACAACTACTCTTAGTTCGTAGGCATAGCCCATGTGTATGTAGGTAAAAAGGGTCCAAGGTATGGTCAGTTCTCAAAATTGTGCTCCCCTTTTCTGGGTACCCAAGATATCGGGGGCCGCCTTGGAATGGTAAAACCAAAAGGGGACCGTAATTTAGCGAAGTGACCATAGAGGGACGACACAGAGGGGTACCTTGAGCCCTAAACCCTAAACCCTTTTGTGTAAGGAACCTAACCTAACCCGAAAAAAACAAAAAAAACATCTTTTGGGTCCGAGGAGCTTCTCCTTCTTCTGCTTCTTCTTGGCCGCATTGTCGTCGACTGGGATGAGATCCCTCGGAATGTTCGACCACGCGTGGCCAGCGTGATCACCCTCCTCTTCAGACGCCTTCACGTTGGCACATCCCATCTGCTTCACAGCGTGCCTACTTTCCCATCTTTGACGAGGCTACATCGGCCTTCCAAAACATCATGACTTCGGGCCAACGAATGCCACCGCAGATCAAACACCAAGCAGTGGCAGGTGGAGGGCATTCTTTCCTGGGGGGCGGGGGGGGGGGGGGGAATCAAGCCTACTGAAGTGACAGACTGGTGCACTTATGTTAAAAGGGTTAAGGGTTTTGAGGTCAGTTAGTCTCCGAACATCCGGTGAGATAGTGAAGAAAGTTCTGCACCAGCTTCCAAAGCCTTATGGGGTTCAAGGGCCCCAAGCCTTAAACTCCAATTTGAACCCTAACCCAAACCCTCTTCGCTGTCGGCATACCAACCTCCAGGCACAAAGGGCATCCCAACTCTCGGTCTTCGATGCTTTCAGGATTCTCGACTTCAGCACAGGTCTCTCGGCTTTGACGCAGCAAAGCTGCCTTTTTACCGAACACTTCAACAGTGCTTGGACCCTGAACCCTAAACCCTAGATCCTACACCCTGAACCCTAACCATCTGATGGAGAAGGCCTCACTGGCTCTACTGCAACTTATCTTTGTTGGCTCTGACAAAACCTCCTGGATCAAGTATTGGAGCCTCTTAACCCCTATAAGGTAAACACAAGATATCCCCAAAAGCCCTACCTAGTAAGGATCCAGTCTTCAGACAAATGACATGTCGTGCCGGTTATCGACCACATGGGGCGTTCTTCCAAAGTATTTCATACACCTTTTCCAGGCGCCCTGAGACGACGGCCCGGTACTACAATTGGAGAGCAACAAAAAAAAACCCTAATTCGTGCAACCTACCGCGTGTGTGGTGCACCGGCAGCTGTTGGCCGGGAGCTGTCCCAAAGACATCTAACAAACAAAACGTGCACTTAGATTGGGGGCCGAGCTCGAAGGTCTTGAACAAGCACGGGACCATCTGACACGAAGCGGAGGGCTCCTACTTTGCGAAACCTTTGTTCGAGTGAGGTGAGCAGCACTACTTGGAGCTGGCATCATGACTGCCACTGCAGATCTAGAAGGCGCAAACGCCCTTTTTAAGCACCAGAAACCCTGGATGTGAGCAAGATCCCTTAAGCCTGAGACCCCACAAAGACCTGGAGGCCCAATCACCCCCTAAGCCCTAAACCCTCAGCTGCGAGAACCAAGAATAAGCTAGGAACAAAAAGGGTGCCCCTTTGGGTTTAAAGGGCCTTATAAGGGTAACCTAAACCCTAAACGAAGGCAATTCAGGCCTACTCTGGGTCATAGGCTAACCCCACTAGCACTGAACCCTAAATTCTAAGAAATGGAATAAGGGCCTACTCTTGGTCCTAGGCGACGGGAGCTGCAGCGCCTGCGCTCCTCTCTCTGGAGCTTCCGTGCCATCTGCACAAGGGGGCTGAGGTATTGTCGGAACCATAGAAGACCGTTAACCCCAAAACTCAAAATCCTAAACCCTACGTATACTACCCCAGGCCCGAAACCCTACACCCGAACTACTCAGCTGGAACGTACACATAGCGCCAAGACTCTATAAGAATATTTCTGGGCACCCCACGGAAACGATCACATGCAGAGGCTTTCTTACTGGCTGAGCTGTCTGCGGGGGGCTAAAGGGCTGCCTGCTTGACTCTGCTTGGCACCTAAGATCCTCAAAGAAGATCGGCTGAGATTTCTTGTTTGAGCTTTTGGTCTTATAGGGCTCAAAATCAGATCTTTGGGGACGATGGTCCAAGTCCCTTCGCACGCAGCAAGAATAGTAAATACCACCACGACAACTTCAATGCACCGCAGCCACAGCCTAAAACCCTAAACTAAACCGACTAAACCCTCAACCATAAAGTCTAAACCCACTTCCCCCCCTCCCCCCGCTGCCCCCCTCCCCCCGCTTCCCCCCCCCCCAACAGGAACACCGGAAGCAAGCAACACCCCACAGCTCTAAATGCCGCGGCGCCAAACATTGGACCGTAAACCCTCACCAATCTTAACAACCAAACTTCCTAATCCCTAAACCTTCTTAAACTCTTGGGGTTTAGGTTTTTGGGTTTAGGGTAATCCTTACCCCGATACGGTGGCGAGCTGAGGGGACTTATGGCAGTTTCCCCCTAATTAAGGGGGACTGCAATGATCCCGTGCTGAGGGCAGGGTTTAGGGTTTAGGGTTTAGGGTTTAGGGTTTAGGGTTTAGGGTTTAGGGTTTAGGGTTTAGGGTTTAGGGTTTAGGGTTTAGGGTTTAGGGTTTAGGGTTTAGTGTTTAGGGATGCTGTTTAGGCAGTTGGTAAGGTGTCGGTCACCATTGATACTTGTAGGGTTCATAGGCTAGTTGGGGTGTTTAGTGTTTACTTTGATGCAGTAGGGTTTTCGGGTTCAGTGGAAATTTGAGGTCGGCTGAGGGTTCCCTAAACCCCTAAACCCTAAACCCTCAACCCTAAACCCTCAACACTAAACCCTAAACTTTAGGCGCTTGGGGCCTCCATCGTGCAACCGGCGAGGTATCCAGATCAACTCGCCTGGACCAGTCTCGCCAGCTTGGTGGACGAAGGGGGGGGGGGGGGGGAGGGAGGTCTACACATGTGATATATATATATACTTCCACTACTACGACTACGACGACGACTACTGCTACTACCGCTACCGCTACCGCTACCACTACCACTACCACTACCACTATCACTGCTTGTACACAAGTGCGTGGAAGCAAGCAAAAGAGTAGTGTACACAAGGAGGGTGTAGATCTTGGGGGGCCTAGGGGGGCGGGGTGTGACCAGATACATATATGTATATATATATACATATTATAGAGAGAGAGAGAGCGAGAGAAAACATAGGAATTTATGAATATATAAGTATCCGAAAATATGAACATATGAGTATGAGAAAACGTGCATACAAGAACCTGTGAACATGTGAGTATAGGAATCTGCATTATTCCATATTCCTCATACATTCACGCATTCATATTCTGATATGTATGTATGTATGTATGTATACGTACAAACTACCCTAGATACCCAGTCTGCTTCGAATCTTACTTCCCCAATAACCAAGGGGAAAAACGGTAACTTTCTTACTAAATACGGAAAACCAAAAAGTTTAAAGCTCAACTATTGGCTGAGTATGGAATATTCAGGGAGAACCAGGTATCAGGCCCTCTCTTACGAAGCCCCAGCGCAGCAGGCCTGGGAAGCTGTGGATGCTGTACGTCCTTGGCAGACTCAGAGCATCGATTGCATGCCCCTAGGCCCTTCAGTTCAGGGTCCCAGTTCCCCCCCCCCCCCCCCCCCAATGGGGTTACCCTACTCAAACAAGCCTCACTTATGAAACCCTAAACCCTAAACCCTAAACCCTAAACCCTAAACCCTAAACCCTAAACCCTAAACCCTAAACCAAAGCCTAAACCCTAAACCCTAAACCCTAAACCCTAAGGCCATCTTAGGAGAGCTGCTCGCTGCTCAACCCCTGTGGAGCCTCGGAGTTTCCGGCATTAGGGGGGTACCTTACGGGGGTCCTTTAGTATGAGGGACTCCTACTATTTGGGGTTTTAGGGTTTTAGGGGTTTAGGATGGTTTAGGGTTTAGGGTTTAGGGTTTAGGGTTTAGTGTTTAGGGTTTAGGGTTTAGGGTTTAGGGGGTTCTCATATTCGGGGTTCCATTCTTGTCGCAAAACCCCCGGTGTCGGGACCCAAGTGTACCCTGGGCTGCTCGCGGAGACGGGATCGGAAACAGGAAGAAGTCGAGAAACCTCAGAGAACGCTGAGCAGCACATCATCACAGCCCGCAAGAAGGCCCCGAGGATTTCCATTTTAGGGTTTAGGGTTTAGGGTTTAGGGTATAGGGTTTAGGGTTTAGGATTTAGGGTATAGGGTTTACAATGCAGCCGAGACCGACCCAGACATTCCTAATTTCCTCTAATTTTGACTTCTCTCGTCACTTTTTCTCTGGCGAGGATGCTGGGGCGCGAAGCTTGGGCGAGAAGGACTCAGAATCCAGCCGCCCCGGACGCAGCTCCAATACTGTCCACAAAGTTCTATCACGCTCAGGTGATACGCAACTACCGAGGCGGCATCGCGGTCATGGCTGATCTAAACCCTAAACCCTAAACCCTAAACCCTAAACCCTAAACACTAAACCCTAAACACTAAACCCTAAACCCTCAACCTTGGACGGAAACAAAGGGGGCATGTTGCTGCACGGGAAGCCCTGGAACCTCCATCTCAACTCTCATCGGCTGCGAGAAGAATGACGGTCCTAGGTCACCAGGCTGGCTCTCTTTTGGGGTTAGGGTTTAGGGTTTAGGGTTGAGGGTTTAGGGTTTGGGTTTAGGGGTTTGAAGTTTAGGGTTTAGGGTTGAGGGTTGTCCCCAAAATCAAAGGAGTCGAGTAGAGGGCCTCTTGTAGGGATCATGGGAAGAGATAGCTCATTGCTGGCAACACGAAATCTAGTGACCTAGTGAACACAAAAGAAACCGTCGCGTGGCATTTTCAAGAAGCCTGCCCTTAGCAAAAACTACCCAGTTGCTGAGTACCCTGGGCCAAAAAAGGCTAACCTTTCAAATAAGGTAGGTTCTCTATGCCCCAGAAGGTTCAAGGTTACCCTACTCAGCTACTCAGAATGAAGAGACACAAAAAGAGTGCCACTGGGGATCCTAGGGTCAAGGAGGTGGCCAGGGCGCGACCGATGTTGAAGCTGTGCGACAAGTTTACGTTCCTTGGTAGCCCAGAAACCATGCGTACCCTTTGTGGAATTCTGAATCCTAAGCCCTAAGCCCTAAGCCCTAAACCC